TCTGGCTGGTGAGCAGAAGGTCAACTTGCTAATAAGGCTGAGGTCAGAGGTCGGGCCTCAAATAAGCTCAGTTCCCTTGGCTTGGTTCTAAGGTCACAGACAGGCCCCCCCAAATCCTGCCACCTGGTCATAAAAGAAGTGTAGACAGATCAAAACAAATCCATCACCACTGGTGGAAACAGCCAGTCGGGTGAATGATGACGGATGGTGGTTCAGTAGCATCTTTGATTTGAGAGACGTGGCATCAGAAATGACCTCCCGGCACCTAATCAGTTCCAGAAAAGGACTTTGTTCTCTGAGAGGCAAGGTGGGAGATCAAAGCATTTCTTGCTAATCATCATTTAGCATTAATTACTTGTTAAGTAACCTGACCCAGACCCAATACCGCTCCCTACCTCGCATCCTGACAGCCTCAACGAGCACCCTTGATCTTTCAACCCAACCTGCATCAAATTGGGAGCAAGCCGACTGCAAACCTGGGAACGGAGAGACCCCGGGCAGCCCAGGCAGTCTGTCCTTCACTTACTTCTCCTTTTCCTGTTAACTTTTTAACCCCACCAGCCAGGAAATGCAGACCTAGAGTGGCGCACCCTCCCTCCCCCTCCCCTCTGCCACATTTCACTGAGTTCCTCAGATCTGGGGACTAATACCTCCCGATTCACAAGCTGTGTGACCCAGGGCATACCAGCGTCCCTCTCTGAGTCCCCAGTCTCAGCTGCGCCCATGGAGGTAACATTCTCCACACCTCCCAGCCTCACTGTGAGGATCAAATATGATATAAAAAAGACATCTAAAGATGGGGACATACATCTGGTGATAATTTATTTCCAGGGCTGCGTGGGTGGCCAGGGTATTCGTTATTATATTATTGACATCTTTTTGTGGCTCTGAAATAATGTAGGATAAATGCTATGTGTTGAATGGTGTTCCCCAGAGACCCCCCCCCCCCCCCCGACCCACCGGACCACTACCAAATTCTTACGTGGAAGCCCTAACCCCCAAGACCTCAGAATGTGAGCACCTGGAGACAGTCTTGCAAGAAGTAACGAAGTTAAACTTAGGGTGGGTCCTAATTCAGCATGACCGGTGTCTTCTAAGAGATTAGGGCACAAACACACAAGAGGTCAGACCATGTGATGATACAGAGAGACAAACGGCTATCAACAAGCTCAGGAGACATATATCCTGCCAACGGACATCTTGTTCTCAGCCTTCTGGCCTCCAGAACTGTGAGAAAATGAACTTCTGTCCTTTGAGCCACGCACATAGTGTGTGGCACTTTGTTACGGCAGCTCTTGCAAATTCCTACGAGAAACTTCAAATGAGTTCGAGAAAACATAAAGTAAATGAAAAAGAAAAAGACAGGGCTAGCATGGCTCTAATAAAAAAGACGGATAATATGCATTGGCGAAGCTGTGGGTAAATTGAAAATCGCGCACGTTGCTGGTGGGAACGAAAAAGGCTGCAGCCGCTCTGCAAAACGGTCTGGCGGTTCCTCAAAAAGTTACACACAGTGTTACCGTGTGACCAGTCAATTCCACTCCTCGGCGCCTGCCCAAGAGACATGAAAACATGTGTCCATGTAAAAATGTGTGCACGCATGTTCACAACATCATTATTCATGACAGCCAAGAGGTAGGAAACAGCCCAAATGTCCCTCAACTGGCGGATGGCTAAACAGTGCGGTATATACACACAATGGAATATTATTCAGCCATAAAAAGGAATGAAGTCCTGACAGCTGTGACAGTGTGGATGAAGCTTAAAAATATTATACCAAGTGAAAGAAGCCAGTCACAAAAGGTCAAGTATTGGATAATTCCATTTACATGAAATGTCCAGCGCAGGCAAATCCATAGAGAGAGAGAGAGATTAGTGGTTGCCAGGGGCTGGGGGAAGGGAAGATTTAGGGATTGGGGGTGGGGGATTGACAGCTGATGGGATTTCTTTCAGAGGGTATGAAAATATTCTAAAATTAGATTGTGGGATAGCTGCATAACTCTGAATATACTGAATATACTAACAAGTGAGTTGTACACTTTAAGTGGGAGAACTGTACGGTAAGCACATTATATTTGTTTTATTATAAAGTGTTTAAAAAAAACCACACTGGTATCCCAAAGTACTGTCAAATAGCAAATGTTCTCTCTTCACCCTTCACCAGCCTCAGGGCTCCAGTCTCTTCCCCCGCCCTTCCAGATTTGATGATAACCAGCCACACGACCTTGTGTATAGACCAGCACTCATACACCAATCCTCCACAAAAATCCGAGGTAAGGGCTACTCCCTCCAGGAAGGAGCCTGCTTCCCGTTTCCAGCCCTTTGGAGGAAAGGGGCAGAGGTGTGATGTTTTTTGTTTTTTTAATGCCCATAAGCCTCTCAGGAGTAAACTGGAGGGTCTCGGGCACAGAGGACAGGACACATTAGTAGTCCTGAAGTGATTTCCCCCAGAGAAGCTCATTTGGACCCCTCCATTAATTCTGAGATTACACTGGGTAGTGGCAAATTTGTTTTTTGAAAAGCCCATGTTCTGCAAACCCTAATCCCTCCCCCAGAGCAATTCCTCAGCTGGGAGGGAGGCAGACAATGAGGCAAAGCCACGGTTTCCTCTTTGGGTTCAGAGCAGCCGTGGGGCCTGGCCGGGTTGCTGCAAGGTGCTACCTCTGCAAGTACAGTTTGTGGTCTCAGAAATGGCAGTTGCATTTACTGCCCATGGAGGGGAAAGTGAACGTTAAAACCCCACCCGCTTCCATGGATCGGGAAACTAAAGGCAGGAGCTATGAAGGCGAATCCTTCTTCATTTCTCCCATCACCTAAATTCCTCCTAAGCTTCAAAGAGAATTAGAATTTACCCACAAGTAACAGGGACCCTCTTCCCCAGCAGTTCCACATTTAGGAACATACCCTAAGCAGATAATCAAACAAAGGTGGAAAGAATAACCCAGAACATCACTGCCCAACAGAAATATAAAGTCAGTCACGCATGTACTTCTACATTTTTTTTGTAGCCACATTTAAAAAGGCAAAAAGAAAAAGGTGAAGTTAATACTAATAATCCATTCTGTCTAACCAATAGATCCAAAATATTGCCATCCACTAGAGTTGCCAGATGTGGCAAATAAAAATACAGGACACCCAGTTAAATTTAGATGAACAATGAATAATCTTTTCCAGCATAAGTATATCCCATGTGATACGTGGGCTATACTTAAAGTTTTACTTGTTGTTTACCTGAAAATTCACATTTAAATGGACATCCTTTTTAAAATCTGGCAACCCTAATTTCAACATGCAATCAATATAAAAAATAAATTAATGAGTAATTTTACAGTGTTCCTCTTTGCACTGTCTTTGAAATCTGTTGTGTATTTTATACTTATAACACATCTCAATTCGGGCTCGCCATTTTTCAAGTGCTCAATAGCCATATAGCTAGCAGCTACCATTTTGGACAGCACAGAGCTAGAATGTTCCTCTAAATGTCTCTTATAGGGGCGCCTGGGTGGCTCAGTTGTTAAGCCTCTGCCTTCAGCTCAGGTCATGATCCCAGGGTCCTGGGATCGAGCCCTGCATCGGGCTCCCTGCTTGGCGGGAAGCCTGCTTCTCCCTCTCCCACTCGCCCTGCTTGTGTTCCCTCTCTCACTGTGTCTCTCTCTGTCAAATAAATCAATAAAATCTTTAAAAAAATAAAAAAATAAATGTCTCTTATAACAGCAAAAAAAAAAAATCAGAAAAAAATACCCATCAACAAAGAGGCTGCTTAAGTCACAACTAATGTTTAAAGAGCACTAACTACTGGTCAGTCCTTGTCCTAAGAACTTTGCATGCATTGCTCTGGTTTTTTTTTCTTTTTAGTTAACCAGAAACGAATTCAACAATGCATTATCTCATCTAGTCGTCCCAACAACCTATCGAAGTAGGTGCTGGTATAGCCCCTTTATACAGACAAGGAAAGCAAGGTTCAGAGAGTTTCTAGAACTTGCTCAAGAAAGTGGTGAGGCTGAGTGTGGACAGATAGGTTGATACATACATGTCCCACCCTAGCACAGACTTTGGAAGAAGACTCACCAAAACATTACTGGTTTTCTCTGGACTTTGAGGTGGACACTGGTTAACAGTTTGGTCTCTGCTGTCACACAGACTGATCATCCCACCCTCAGCTCTGCCAAGTGCGCTCACAAGTGACTTGGCCTTTGTAAGCCTCAGTTTCCTCATCTGTAAAATGAGAGTCCCGAGTATCTGCCCCACAGGGTTGTTGGAGTCTAAAGAAGATAAGGGATGCGGACAATGAAGCAAAGCAACATGCTCTTGGTAAGTCCTCAGTGGACGTTACTATCATTCTCCCTAGGGTCTTTGTCCTTTCCTATTTCTTATTTGATTAGACTTTTCCAAGGTGAGCATCCATCAGTTAAAAAAAGAGAGAGAGAGAGAAAAGTTATTTTCAAAAGAGAGAAAACCGGGGCGCCTGGGTGGCTCAGTCGTTGGGTGTCTGCCTTCAGCTCAGGTCATGATCTCGGGGTCCTGGGATTGAGCCCCGCATCAGGCTCCCTGCGCAGCAGGGAGTCTGCTTCTCCCTCTCCCTCTGCCCCCGCCCCATCCTATCACATGCTCTCTAATAAGTAAATAAAATCTTAAAAAAGAGAGAAAAAGAGAGAGAGAAAACAGCCCTTGAAGCATCTGGAGGAAAAAGAGAAGGAAAGAAGAAAAGAAAGGAGAGAAGGAAGAAGGGAATGAAGTCACCTAAGGATAGGGAAAGGTGAGGCATCACTCCCCCCACAGTTTTCTGAGTGACCACCAGGGGGCACTGCCTGCAGTTTCCACAGTAGGGAAAATGATCCCTTTCAAAAAAACAAAAACTTGCAATAGACAAATCACCAAAATCATTCCTCTTAACTGCCCTCTGCCAGGAGTCCCCACTGAAAAGCTGCCAACATTCATCTTACAGGAGATGTGAAAGGCAGTGGGAATGGTCTCCCAGCTGCAGGCGATCTGCATCTTACCTTTGGAGTCTTCTTTGGCCAAGTGACTACCGGGACCCCAGTGATGGCCAGACTGGGGTCGTCATCTGCATGCTCCTTCAGGACATTCTGTGGCCAAACAAAGGAGTCATATTAGCCCAGAGTAGAGGGGAGGCCCTTGAAGGGGGCTAAGACTGGATCTAACCCAATAAAAGTCAGTCCTCTATTAAGTCGACCACCACCCACACACTCAGTAGAAACCAAGTCACCAGGGTTCCTCAGAGGCCACAAGACATGCAATATCCCCTTTCCAAAAAAATTTTTAAAAAGCAAATCACACACCTCCCTATGACTTCCATGAATGTATTGCTCGCTGATCATATTTATGAATCCAAACATTTGTCTAGAGTGCTATGGACTCTTACACACACAATTTCATTCAGTCCTTACCAAGTACCCTGGGAGTGGGCTGGCCAGTGCACTAAGATGCTCTAATGTATATAAACTCAACTACGTATGCAGGGAAACGAGAACAAAACCAACCACGAGGTCTTGACACCCGTGAGACCTCTTTTCTTCCATCAGCCAGCAAGCCATGTGTATTCTAATCTTGGTGTGTAAAGACATGTCATTGTTTATTACAACATGGGCCATAAACACAAGTAGATTCTTAATCTGGTTTGACCAAGGGATGGAGTCATCTGACCAAATGCTAGCAGAAAAGTGGGCTGTGATAGACATACTGCCGGACTGGGCAAGGGTCTCCCGCATGGCGCACTGTGTTCACATCTCTGTGGGTAGTCTGAAGGCTTTTCAAGGGTAATTCTGACTCTACCAGATTTTGGCCTTATGTGGAGGCTCATTTTAGAACCTCATCCAGGTGTAAGATGCTACTCCACTGAATTATCCCTGAGTTAGAGGTGAGGCAATCAAGGCTCAGAAAGACTCAAGAGGACTTGGGTGCTGCCCCAGACCAGGAGGGCAGAGCCCTCAAACCCCACTCTTCAGCACCAGACTTCCCACCCCATGACCACTTCACACATGGGTTTTTCTGGTTGCATCCACAGCATGCCATGAAAAAGCGTTTAGGGACAGACAGATCTGTCACTGGCCTATTCTGACCTTGACCGTTAATTTTTGGATTGTACAAAAACATTCCTGCAGGGACATTTAAAAACAGAGAAAGTTACACAGTAGAACTTAACAGGAAGAGCAGAAGAGCTCAAAACAGAAATATAGGTAAAGATTATTTTAACTCCCTTTCCCTAATCTATTCACCGGAAATGAATCCAACTCACTTCTAATTTGTTCTATTATATTAGTTTTCTCATCATCCTGTGATTGCCAGATTTTTCAAGATGTGCCTACTATGCCAAATCTACCTGCGGAACTCTCTTCTGCCCATGGGAGGAGGCAAACAAGACAGTGATCAAGGGTCAAACTCGGGGCTGTCTGGCTTCAATTCTCAGCCCATACAGCTCTGTCCAAATCCAGCATCAATGTCACTGATTTATAAATGCTGTTTATAAATATCTTGGTTCACTGCTATATCCCTAGCTTCGCACAATGACTAACCTACAGTAAGTCTCCAGTAAATAACTTTAAAAAAATAAATAAAGCCACAAATCCCCAAAGAGGGACTTTCTACAAAATCCCTGACTAGTACTCCTCGAATCTGTCAAGGTCAACAAAACCAAAAAAAAAAATCTGAGAAACTGTCACAGCCAAGAGAAGCCCAAGGAGACATGACAAACGCATAGATAGTGCTATCCTGGGTGGGATACTGAAATACATCTAAGACACTTGGTAAAAACTAAGGAAATGTGAATAAACTCTAGACTTTAGTTAGTAACAACGTATCAATGTTGGTTTAATTGTAACCAATGTACTCCACTAATATACCATGTTAATCCTAGGGGAAAAGCAGGGGGTGTGTATGTGGAAACTCTGTAGTATCTGCTGAATATTTCTGTCAATCTAACACCACTCTGAAACATAAAGTCCTATCGTAAAAAGCAATTTTTTTTAAAGTAGGCTCCATGCAAAGTGTGGAGCTCAACGTGGGGCTTGAACTCACAATCCCAAGATCAAGAACTGAGCTGAGATCAAGAGTCAGATGCTCAACTGACTGAGCCACCCAGGCGCCCCCTAAAATGCCAATCAGACAGCAGTAACAGCTACCATAAAGGAAAACAGGATTATTAGGCTGCCAATTTTTCTAACATGTATGCAGCATATTTAACAAATATAACAGAAGGGGACCAAGAATACAAGCGTGATTCAGCTCCAGTGTGGACTTCACATGGGGCATCAAAGAGGCTATCGAAGGTTGGGGACAGTGGCAATGATCCATGCCTGGGGCGAGGAGTGTTTCATCACTGACATTGTTTAGAATTGCCAGTTCCCAATGATGATAAAAAGTAGACCAATTTTTTTTTTTAATCAGTTTTGGTTTTGAATTAAATGGCCCCAGACATTACACCCGTTAGTGGGTCATTCCCACTTGGTCCACCACCCAGGGCGGATAGGACTGGCTATAGGTGAGAAGTGAAATGGAACCATCAGGAGGCAGGCACCACGTATTTTGTTGAATGAATGTACAAGAGTAGGGTGTACTGGGTGTTTGCTCTGGGCTGGTCACCATAATAAATACGCCATATCCACTCTCTCATCCAACACTCTTGACCACACTGTGAGAAGGACCACCATCATTTCTAGATGAGAATACTGGAGCTTAGGGGGTATGGGAACTGTCCAAGACCACTCAGCCAGGAAGGGGTAGAGACCCCTCCACTCCACAACCTGTGCTCTAACCACGGTAGTACTCAACCTATCCTTCAAGAAGACAGGGGGCCACGTTCCTAGTAGCATGACTCACAGCAGCCAGAGGACACTGGGAAACAACCCAAGTGTCCATCAGTGGGTGGAGGGATAAATAATATGTGGTCTAGCCACACAATAGAATATTATTCAGCCCAAAAAAGGAAGGAAATCGTGACACTCCTGTAATATGGATGAAACATGAGGTGCCTAAAGTAGTCAGATTCATACAAGCATAAAACAGAGTGCTTGTTGCCAGGGCTCAGGGAGGGAGAAGCAGGGAGTTGTTTAATGCACGGTGCTGATGGCTGCACACACTGTGAACAAACTTAATGCCAGTGAACGAGACACTTAAAAAAGGTTAAAATGATAAACTTTATGTGATGTATGATTTACCACAATTTTTAATTTTTTTTAATGTTTTATTTTTATTTAAGTAGTCTCTACACCCAACATGGGGCTCGAACTCATGACCCTGACATCAAGAGTCGTGTGCTCTACCGACTGAGCCGGCCAGGTGCCCTGACCCTACCACAATTTCTTAAAAAGGGAGGAGAGAGTGGGGCAAAGCAGTCCCTCCCTAAGGACTGGACTCAGAGGTTCTAGAAAGTACACATAGGAGACCTCACCAGTTAAGCTATTATTGTTATGCCCGTGACAACACTGGTTCTAGAGTCAGAAGACCCGGGTTCAAGTTCTACAACTTGCAGACTGTATGACCTGAGCAAGCCACAGTTTAGAACAGTGATATCTACCCTTGAGTTTCCATGAAGTGAGATGTGATTTTACTACCATTCTAGGAGCATTTGTTGAATGCCTGCTCTGGACTAATCCTCTCTGAGGAATAGGGCTGATTCTCCTCCTTTCTCCCCAGAAGCAGAAACTAAAGTTCAGAGGGGCTAAGTGACTTGCCCAAGGTCACACAGCTTGGAGGTGACCGAACCTGTCACTGACCAAATCCATCTAACTACAAGCCCAGGGAGTAACACTGGGTCATAAAGCCTCAGGAAACCACTCCAGCAACCTCTGGAGCTGACCTATACCCCATTATTGAAAAATACAACACCTAGGAGACAATCTGGGCTCATATTCACCATCTGATTAACAAATACAGAAGTGAGTCATGCTCACCTATTCCTTACAAGACAGAGAACTCATTCAGCCACTAACTCCTTTACAAAGCATTTTTCAAACTTTGCCCCAATCACAGAAGGAAGACACACATATGCCCAATGTGGGCCTGCACAAGCACAAAATTTTGTTGACGTTTCATGGTTCTTAACAATCCATATGAATTTCACACCCTCTTCTACAATACACCACGGTTTTCTGTTGTTGTTTTTTTAAATAATGTTTCCCTACCCCCAAAACAGCATTAAAAAAATATATATATATATATATTTTTTTTTTTTGAGGAAGATGCTCTGTGTTTAGGCAAAACCTTTCAATTCACATATATCTATATCTAGATATCTTATATAAATATAGATAGATCTTACCATATGATGGGAGCAGGGGAGCCCATCACTTCCATGGGAGTTCCTACCCTCTTACCCAGTCTCAAACTCCAGGTTAGGGTGACAAACTCAAATGCTTCTAGGAACCAAGCAGATAAAATGCAAGATATCAACAGATTAGAGCCCTAGAGAGTGGTGTGGCCTAAGGCACACTGGAGGCCACGGCCGGTTTAGAGAGAGCAAATGCTACTCAGTTCTAAACTACTAACCTCTTGTGGAAATAAAAGCCCCACCTGATCTCTGATTTTTTCAGAAGAAATCAAAGATCCAGAGCTTTATTTGAAATGGCTTCAATGCTGGCAACTGATTGGAAAATTAAAAAAACAAAAACAAAACCCCAAAAACGAAAATGAAAAAACGACTGTGAGCCAACCAGTATCTGTAGGCCAGTTTGGGCCACGGCCCACCAGTATATAAACACTACTCTGCATAAGATTGAAAATAATGTCCACTCGCCTTGGTTTTCCTGGAGTTTCTGAACTGTCTCAAGATTTCCTGTCATTTCAATATCAAAGCTGGAGTCCATAACTCACAAGCAAGGTGAGGCCTCTGTGGAGGAATGTCTGGTTACAAAAAGCTATTACTGAAGGCGTAGTATTATCAATAATAAATACATTAGTAATGATAAATAATAATTAAAAATTAATAGAGGGGGCGCCTGGGTGGCTCCGTCGGATAAGAGTCCAACTCTTGATCTCAGTTCAGGTCATGATCTCAGGGTCATGAGTTCAAGCCTCACTCCAAGCTGGGCGTGGAGCCTACTTAAAAAAAAAAAGTCATTAAAAAGTCATT